TAAATACCACAGAAAAATAATCCATCGTCATCAAAAATGTTCGTCAATAGCCGTCAAATATTTACCACAATATATAATCATTAAAAGAATCATGCCTACATAAGATGATTAAAGCTTTATTTTCAGTTTTATTGCTGTAATGATCTGCTTTAATTTCAATTCTTTTAATTAAAAATCCATAGTATAATAAATATTGAGACGACATTTCAAAAATTTGGGATAAAAAAAAGTTGTGATAATTTTGAGTTTGATAAGCTTAGAGGCATAGTGGATAAGGCGCATTTTCATAATTTTGGAAGTGAAAAGTGATAATCACTAAGAACTCCGATTGGCACACATTAAAGTTCATTGAAATGTTTGCCACCCGACAGCCGGGTTGCTCCTTTATGGACTAAGATGAAGACTGATTCGTATCCAAAAATTCCAACTCTAACTCCCTGCCTTAGAGCTTAAAAATCAAACTGATTATAATTAACTTTTCTGATTCCACATCTTCAATAATTTTTATTTTCATCTTCAAACTCTTTAACCTTTAAATCTGCCCCTTGCATCTATGCTATCTTCACGACACACACACAACCTGTAAAATCACAGTCGATCGTGCCTGTATGATTCAGTTAATTGATAATGGGCAAGACCGCGAAAAAAGTGAACAAATATTGAAAGTTGATTCACTCAGAGTTTAGTTATTCAATCGTCACAATTCTTTCAGTGGCTTATAGCCAAATATAAAAACTGAATTTTTAACCCAATAATTTTAAAATGGCGACTTTATAACTTAGTTTAATTTCTAAATTAAACATTCAAAGTGATTTTTCTCCAAAAAGGAAGCTATAAAAAGAGCTAATATGTTCATAAAAGTTGTTGAGAATCTTATTTTCTTTCATTTATCATACACACATTTTTAAATTAATACACAAAATTAGTTCAATTAACCAAAATTGATTTTACATATAAATTTAATGAAATTTTCATTATTGTCCCTCAAAAAGCATTAATTAATGATAAATTACAACTTTCCTGCAAGAATTTACTGCAATAAAGCCTTCTAATTGAGTTAATTTAACTAAAAGTTTATTTTACAACTCTTTAATCAACTCAAAAATTTAAATTTTAAAAAACGGTTAAAAATTTTTGGTTAAAGTTTTTAAAGTTTTTACTTTTTTCTTGTTCTATAACATTATATTGTGATATATTTTGCTAGAACTAAGCATATTTGATGTATAATTATCATTTTACATCATAAAATTAAAAGAATATCTATTCAATTGCCATTCAAAGGCAATTTTACAAAATGACCAAAAAAAGTTAATTATACTACTTTTTTCAAAAATTTTTGACTTCTATCATAAAGCCAAGGTCTAAAACTATATTTGTGTCAAGAAAAAAGTTAAGTAAGTTAAAAATTGATAGAAAAATATAGGAAAATAAGGTTAAAAACATTAATTAAATTAACTTATTAAGTCGCCATTTTGTTTTTATTACTTTTTAATGATAACTGTTGTTTTAAACTAACTATTGCTGAAAAAACTATCGAAATCGGTGTAAAACTAAGCGAGATAGACTAGTTTTAGTAAAATTTCAAATACCCTTCCCAAAAATTCAGTGTCAGATTTTGCCTATTTTCAGGCTCTACAGCCTTAAGTATAGTACTTCCAATTAAAAGTTACATACCAAAAGATAGGCATCAAAAAGTTCTATAAAACAGTATGTTTAGTTTTACTGTAAGTATTTTCGTTATAGAGATATAAACGAAATAATAGCAAAATCTGACACTTAATCGAAAAACGGTCTTGCCCTAATACAATGATTATTAATTGCTTATTTGTCTTTCATTTCAATTGCACAATGAAAAATTAATTTTATTTATTTTTTTGAGAAACTGCAATTGCTTCATTCTTTCACTGATGCTTTATATTTTGTTTGAAAAGGAGGAAAAAAAATGAGTCAAAATAGAAATACAAAAGAGAAAATGTTGAATGGAAATGAATGATACAAGTTTATGCTTTTTATGTTTATTCAAACTTCAAAATACATGAGAGATAGAGATGAAGGAAGAGAAGGAGGAAGCAAAGGAACAAAGAGGCAAATATGAGGGATAGAAGTAAGGATGATGAGCTGGTTAAGAATGAGATATAGGCGCTGTTTTGAGAATGATTGACTAGATTTAACTAGATTGACGATATTAAAGTGATAATATAAGAAATTGTCATAAAACCTTCAAAATCTTGAGCCTGGATGACTCAAAATAGTATTGAACTAGGTCCAACTGGTAGATACTTTTAAGATTTTAGCATTCTTATACACAAAGAAATAACAATATTTGAAACAATCTCATTAGGATCAGTAAAATTGATAAACGAGATTAAAGTTAAATCCTGGTTAAATCTGACCAGGGATCGCTCGTGGAACCTTTAAAAATTGTTAAAAAAAAACTCAACGTTTAAGATGAGATCCAGGCATGACTCTGGTATGATGCTGGAACTCAAATCGAATCCAGCACAATGCCAGAGCCACTTCAGTTTGGTGTCAGATTTCTATTCGATTAACCGACTTGTGCTTTTCGGGAGAAGTCATTCATGTTCGTGAACTAGACAAAGAGTCTTTAGTATTATTCACAGCTTATTGATGCTCACCACTAGCATCAACTCTGTCAAACCAAAAGTAAACCTTAATTAAGGTACTTAAATTCATTTATAGCATCTCAACATAGCATTTAATCAGACCAAATGACTTCATAATCCAATTCACCGACTCATAAAACCAGCTATAAAAATCCAACGCGGCAAATTTCGTTTGATGCAATTAAAATTATTTCACAAAAGCGAGCAATAAAATGCAACTTTTATCAAAACCTGATGATGGCACAAAAAGGCAATGAAGAACAAAGTTTTTTTATTTTATATTTTATGAATTAAACTTTCAATGAATTCCTTTCTGTTTGCCTCAGTTCCTTCAAACAAGCAGTCCCAGATGAGAGGCAAATTTTTTTTTCTTTATGAATATTAAACGTTATCAAGATAAGATATTTTATAGAAATGGCAATTCGAGAGGCTTTAAAATAAGACAAACAAAACATAAATTGTCACACAGTCACTTTACAATTCAAGCCAGTCAACAGAAGCTATTGCAATGTGGATTTGAACTGGAAAGAATTTATTTTGTGATTTGATAAAAGCATTAATGCCGGCATATTGAATGTAAAAGCGAACTGGAATGTGCAAGTATCAAATGCAATATAGGAAGAGATTGTAAGAAATCAAGTCAGGTGCTTCATGCCAGATAACCATTTGGACAAGACAAATAAGTTTGACGTTTTAGCAAGTTGCAATTTATTTTTTTTCCCTCTCAATATCAATTTTTCAACATTGTGTGGTTAAAATGTCAACATCACTTAAATGCTGACAAATTTCCCCTCTTGTCTCATGTAAAATATGATAATCGCGAGTGCAATTGAATAGTGCAATATAATTTAAATTATACTGTAAATTACTTTAGTGCAGTTGACTTGAGGTTTCTATTAATTTGTTGCATGACTAAATGCTGGTTCTGTTTATTATTCTGTGCAGTAAATTGCTGCTTTAAAAGCTGCTGAAATCGTAAGCAATTCCATTAATGGGTTTCTTATAATTTGTTAAAGTGGATTTATTCTAGCTCAACCTACTCTAATAATATTTTATGAGTAAAAATCCATCGTTCACTTATGACGTCCAACATTTAGGGGGGGGGGGGGGGGGAGGTTTCTAAAAATCAGGAAATTTGTGACATCCAATTTTTTTTAAATTAGAAGTTTTTGTAACTTGTATTTTATATCACGAGGGGGGGGGGGGGGGGGTATTGACATCTGTGACAGTTTTGTGACAAAGGGGGAGGGGGGTTTAAAACTATTTTTTGATGGACGTTATAAGTTAATGGCCCCTTAGTAGTTATGATCGTCCAAAACAGACTATAGACAAAAATGAAGATGGAAGAGGTTCTTACCACAACACTAAGATCTAATAGCCATCAAATTGTCAACCTAACTTTACAAAAGTCCGCAAATGATAGCAATTTTGTACATAAACAGCAATCATCGTATCACAGATCACTGGTCGATTTCTTTCACTAACATTAGGCGTCATTCATTATACATGTTCGAAATTATTGCTTTTGAATGGAAATTAAAGCATTACTAATCCAAATTTATTGATCACTTCTTTCTACCTCCATTTCGGTATCATAAATTATTAGTTCTTTTCTCATGTCAATTAGATCATTAGATGTATGCTCCTACTATTATACAATGTGTAATATCGCGTCGTGAACTAAAATCCTATGGTATTCGGTTTTTTTCTTGTCTAGGTATTTTTTTTTGTTGGTAAAAAAATTATAACAACATACAAAATTTATTAATATTATTAAGTTTGTTAGAAATATATATAAAAAAAGAGATACCGCTGCTAGTGCTAATAAATCTTTATTTTCTTAAAAAATTGTGTGCCTATAAATTATGCAGTATTCAAAAATACCACAAAAAATTAAAGCGACACAATAAATTAGATTGAAAAATGTGGAGTGACTTGGGAATTTGTTGGAAGTAAGAGCACACTGGCAATAGATTTGACTAAATTTGTAGAAAATAGAGATGTTTTCGATCGTATTAAATCTGTATTTGTATCATGAAATATGTAGAAATTGTCACCGAATATTTAAATTATCTTTTATTTTTTGTATGGAGTAGCCAGTTGGGTTGGATTGCTGTTAAGTTTGTAGGAAAGTGTAATATTTCGTGGAAAATTTGTGATGGTTTAATCATTTATTATTGAGATGTTTTTGTGCGATAGAATCTGAGATTTAAAAAACATTCATGAATACCTTAAACGCTGATAAAAAGTTTGTAGAAAAATCTCAAAATTTCGATCAGATATTACTATAAAATGTCAATCTTAATCAGCTAAAATCATCATTCTCAAACCAAAGTTTAAACAAGCTGAAGATTAAAGAACCATTTTAGAAACTTTTTACATTCGAAAGATTAAAAGTAAATTAAGCAAACGTAATTAAAATGCCGATCAAAATTTCTCAGTTTTTCAAACCAACAACGTCAAAAACAACAATGGCTGACAATCAAACTTTTGGACATTTCGATATCAAGCAAGAAAAAGTTACATTAATAGAAAATATCAATTTTGACGATGTAAGCACAAACTGCTTCTCAAAAGTTTCTAAAAGCACAACAAACGATTTTATCAATAATGTAAAAATCGAACTTGAACAAGAATTTTCCATCATTCAAACTACACAAAACCTAAAATCGTTTGTAAAAGTTGAAAAATTTACAAATTTTGACCAAAAATCATCAATATCAAGCTTTAGTGTATTAAAATCAGAATCTGTAAAATCCGGAGTTCAATGCAATTTTTGCGCAAAAGTTCTCTCACAAAAACGAAAACTCAACGAACATATTTTAAGAATGCATCCTGATAAGCTCAACAATCTCCATGAATGCAAGATTTGTAACTCAAAGTTTGTTAAGCTTTTCAAGTTAGAACTGCATATGAGAAATAAACATACAAATGAAAAGGTTCAACAATTTGAATGTGATTTTGATGGAAAAATCTTCAATAATAAAAATTCAATGTATCTTCACATGAGGACTCATCAAGCTTCTATCAGGTGCAAAATATGTCAAGCCGATGTCAAACCAAGAACATTTTTAAATCATATGAAAAATTCACACAAAAACATCGACATTAAATGTGAAGTTTGCCAAAAATCATTTCGATCACAAAATTTGTTAAAAGCTCATCAGAAAATCCATAACAAAAGATTTGAATGCAAAATTTGCAACAGAATGTTTCCAGAGCTTAATCGCCTTAAAAAACATGAAAAGGAAGCTCACAAAAATTTGAAGACTTTCAAATGTGAAGATTGTGATAAAAAGTTTCCCTCCAAATCTAGACTGAAGCTTCATCAAAAAGTACATAACAAAACTAGACCCAAACCTTACAAATGCCAGCGATGCAACTATGCGACAGATGTGCCACAAAATTTTAAACATCATCAAACATTTCATGAGAATCAAGAAAAGAAATTTGCAGCAATGAAGATTCCAATAAAATGTGACAAATGTGCAGTTCTGTGCAGGAATAAGGACGCTTTGTGGATGCATAATAGAAGAGTTCATTCTAAAATTATGTATCAATGCGATCTTTGCGGCCAGTATGGGAAAATTAAGGCGAATATGGAAAGACATTTGATGATTGTTCATATGAAAAAGTGAGATTTTTGAAAAAGGAATAAATTATTAGAAAAACCAAATTAAATTGTTTTTTATTAAAAATTAAAGCTCATATGAAGCATTAGTAAAGTCCAGTCACTGATGATTTTATCCAATCCATATCAGCTTCCTCTATCAGTTACCTTTGTTATACAAATTAATACAATTTTTATTTAATTCAATTCTTGTTCTCAATTCATTTAAAATCCGTCCAACAAATCATTCCAAAATTGGTAGATAGACTCAATATTATATTTCATTTAAGGAAATGAATCTCCAAAGCAAAAAAAAAACATTTTAATCTCATTTTATCTTGTTTGAAAAATTCCAGAAATACTAGTCAAAGAAATCCGCTATGATGGTCATTATTTTTTCGTGTGACTCATAAATTTTGTCATAAGGAACCGACTGCCAATTCCATTTCATTTATAATGAAGAGTTGATTGAACAAAGAAAATCTAATTAACAGATTATTTTAACGCTATCGATGTGAAAATAACAAATAATTAAAACACAATAGCTGAGACTTGAAATGCCAAAGACTATCGAACTTGATAGCACGCGAGAATTCATTTAAGAAGCATCTTTTGTTCTCATAATACATAGACTAATCATAAACACATTAAATGAGAGACATTATGGAGATTTATATAATAGATGATACAATGTTGCCACAAATTTATGCCTGACCCAAGCCAAGTGTGAATTCATAAATTATTCAAATTATTGTTTTTCTTCTTTTGCTGTTCTTTATCAACTTTTTGAAAAAGATACAAAAATGAATCTTCGGATTCGATTAAATTGTCATTGATGTACGAATGCGATATCTCCATAAATAAATAAATTTATCTAGAGTTTTTTGAGCAGAGACTTAGCACAGAAATTTTTGTCGTCCCTAGTTTGAGTTGAAAAAAATTCTTACAACTATTTTATTACTTTAAATAAGTAAATTCTTCATAAGTTATTAAATTTAAAAAGGCAATTTAGTTTATTTACTGAAATGCTGCATACAACTGAGGTTCGAATCCTTAGATGAAGATACTTGATTAAGTGATTTTTCCACGTTTTTATGAATTGCTTTCTTTTAACTTTTTATTTTTAATGCTTTTTTTTGAAAAATTTAATCAAATCTTTAATAATAAATAAAAGACATGCTTAAAATATGCATAAAAATATCTGAATTAAATTCTAACCCTTCCAAAAATTCGTTCGGTTCCTTAAACAAGACAATAAAAATTACAGAAGTCCTCGTGTTATTGATGGAGTGACTTATGCGCATTTTTGGCGCAGCAATCAGTATTAGATAAGCATCAAAATACGAATCAATAAGGGGCTGTTCACTTATTACGTAACGCAAAAAAATTACTTCTTAGACCCCCCCCCCCTCGTAACAAAATTTGTATGAAAAAAAAATTTCCTTTTTTGAACCGTAACAAAATCTTAGACCCCCCCTCCCCCTAAAAGCGTTACGTAATAAGTGAATGCCCCCTAAGTAAACAGCTATAAAATTTTGATTTTTCATCTAACGGTTTTTCTGAGATTCAAATATTTTAACGGTAGAAATAAACTTGAATTTCTGAACATACCCTGAACAATTTTTGGTGGTTTTGCTTATGAAATAAAAAAAAAATCATTAACTATAGCATAAATACATGGTTTGAAGAATTTTAACCATTTGATGGGCCGATAAATAGGGTGACCATCTGCGTAGTTTTACAACGGACAGTCCTGTATTTCAAAACCCTGTCCTGTATAAATTTGAAAACTTTGTTCCAGGTCCTGTATTTTTTTTCACGAAAATTTCCGTTAATTCTTGAATTTTACTCTATGTCCTGTATTTTTCGAAAAAATTTACCAAAAGTCCTGTATTTTCATGAAAATTAGATGGTAACCCTACCGATAAATCGATAGTAACGGAAATAATAAAACAAACCTTAGCTCTCTACGACGTCTAGTTAAAAAGTTTTTCTTCGCCCGAGCAGCCGAACAGCCGAACAAAGTGTATTATTAAGCTACCTTTTAGAAACAAGTTTCAAAAATGCGCTAAAAATATTTATTACAATCTGTTCCTACCATCCCCAACAGCTCCCCCTCCTTGAATTCCAACTAATAGCTATTCGCTTTTCAAATGAGATAAATAGCAAATAAATAAATGGAGAGAAAAATAAGAATTATTATAAAATATGTTCATCGATTTTGTTAAACAAAAATGATGAAAAAAAATTATTTATTTATACGAGATTAAAATAAATAAAGATATGTGAATAAATTGTAATTTATAATTAACAACAGATATAGTGACTTGCAGGGGCGTAGCCAGGGGGGGGGGGCCATAGGGGGCCCGGGCCCCCCCTACGAAAATCTGATAATTGTTTTATTAAGTATTTATAGAGAAGAACCAGTTAATGTAGAGGAAGTGATGAAAGAAATGTCAAAATCAGCACGAAAAATTAAATTTAATGTATGAATAATGAATTAAATATTTAACTTATGAAGAATGAATATAGATTTAAGGATACAAAATAACGGTTTTTTTAATTTTCGAAAATGGCCCCCCCCCCTTAAAAATTTTCTGGCTACGCCCCTGGTGACTTGAATATTGTACGCATTTATAGCAAAGCGAGTAAGAGACGTATCGAATTGCCATTTTTAAAGATGATCATAGGTTGAAAAGTCATTGAAGAAGTTTTTATGGACTGAAGCGAAGTTTTAAAGGAGATGCTGAGGTTGGTGGTTATTGGGATTATTGGTGTGAAGGTTGATGAACTTCCGTGGTTCCAAAGTGTCTACATGTTTAATAAACTTGACTTTTAATTTGCACACAAACTAGTGGACATCCAGGGGAATGTAGCCTCACATGCAGTACATTCGATGGACAAATCGAGAGACAAAACGATCCTCAACCAAATTCTGTCGAACATTACAACTGCAAATAAATAAATTAATTCAATACATCCATATAGATACAGTTTACATCAATAAATATTTCCAAGCTTCGATAACCGAATATCGCATTAAGTAGCATCTCTCATCTCCATCTGCTGTTTGTTTAATAATGCGTGCTATATTTTGATTTATTGTTTCGACATTTATTCGTGTTTACGAAAGGTATTAAAATGCTTAAATAACAAGTTTTTGCTATTAAGCGATCGATGTTTTTGTCGGTGACAGCAGTTAGCACAATCAAAGGTTAAGAGTGTCAGCAACGTTTTCATTAGTCGATGAAACACCTTTTTGTTTTAATTTAGCCACACATTGAGTTTGACGAGCAGTTCCCCTTGTGTGAAGATTTTACTGTGATTTTGGTCAAGATGCTGTCGATTTTGGTACGTAAATGAACATTTTTGGTTATCTTAAGTCATTTTTGAGTTGAAGAGGACAGCAGCCCATGATATTTATTTAAAAAAGAGGTGTCAGACCTTAAAAAGTAATAGTTTACCACTTTGCCTATAAAATCACACCTGAAATGCTCCCAAGGGACCAAACAACGCGTGCTACATACATAATAAAATGTTACAAGCTTACACAAAAATAAATTAAAAATCAATTTAACAGATTTGCATGCAAAATACCTAAAAAACAATAAACACGAGAAACATCAACATCAACTGATGTAGCTCATCCACCATACGATACCATTCTGAGACGGTGTCATGTGTTTATATGTTCAACAGATCGCAATCGTCAATTATTTGATTGACTGTAAAATATTTCACAAGAGACATGTAAATGGTTTAAAAAGAATCTCTTCTGGATGATTATTTCTCGAATTCAATAAAATATGGTATTTGCATAATTTTAAAGAGCGCAAATCGGAGGAGAGATTGTGTGGAAAGTGATGGAAAGTTGATGTGTTGAGCGCATTGATTGGAATGTGGATAGTGCGGAATGCTAGGTGAATATGTAGAGAATGGATGTGATTACGCAGATTTTCTAGTCGAATGTCATTGAAATCAATGGATAAAGTAAAGCATAATAGAATTTTTCAAAATTTTGTACAAACATCCATTCTTAACTTTCATATCAAGATTACCCCGAATAGCACAATTTGGTTGATCGAATAGCAATCTAGCTACAAGACAGCATGAGTCTAGCATAGTGCTGGCTTCGATTTGAATTCAGCACTATGCCAGAGTCACACCGGCTTGGATTTCTGGTCGCTTAACGAGCTTGTGCCATTTGGGTACTTACATGAAAATATCAGAGCAGCAAAAAGTCTGAGAAAACAGCCATAATGCCTAAGTGGGACGAAAACTGGATCCATAGTTTCATCCAAAACCAAATAAAGCTTCGTACAAAATTTTTTTAAGGAAATGGCTGGTACACTAATTTCAATACGTCATAACAAAGAAGCTTCATAGTACATTGGAGTATCTCGAGTATCTGAAGGAACAGTTGAACATGACAGAAAACGTTTGAAACTCTTTGTTCGAGCAGATAATATTTTGTAAAGACTTAAGTTTGACACCATGTCGAGACTTTCTAGTGATCAATCTGTCAGTTATTTTATACAGTGTTGTCTTTATATCCAAAAGCATCTGCCACATTTCAAGCTTTAAAATTGAGATTATCGACAAACGTTCTAGCAAATCGATGGCATTAATAATACAAAGAAAGTTAAATTTTTAACACCAAAAAACAAGGCGTGGAAACTATCCCAAATATCATATTTATCCCACATATCCCAAAAATATTTAAAAATTCCTGATCATGTATGCACGATAATAAAGATATCCCACCGTATCCTTAGTGTATTAGACGTGTAATTTCGGGATATGATGGGATATCTCAATTCTAATCCATACAGGCTCAGGGATTATTTTGAATATTTTTGGGATATATGGGATAGTTTCCACGCCTTGCCAAAAAGCATCCTCAACCATGGATTTTAAAAATTTGATAAATTTTCCAATAAAGCACGACAAAAAAAAGTCACAAGCAATATGAGAAGTGTGACCTGAAGTGTGTGATTTTATAGCCTCTTTTGCTAGATGTTGTCTGGTCATAAATTTCTGTAATCCACTGATTA